CGTCGTCAGTGACGGATTTGATCCGCGCCGCATACGCGGGTAATGGTATGTGTGTAGCTCTACGACAAGCCCTCGGGAACAAGAAGTTTGAAGCCTGAAATTATCGGTGTGCGATTGACGCACCGATATACCAACATTCGTTGAATAACGGGATGCTGTTTAATAGCACCGACCTGACGGATACGCCACGAATTGTGCTTCTTCACGGTGAGAATTTGAAATACTTTATCCTCCATGAGGCCCACGTCACTCCAGCCAGTGGTCATCTTGGTCGTGAGAAGACGTACAGCTCTGTGAGTTGCCACTATTGGTGGCAAAAGCTATACAAATGGACGAGCACATATGTGTGTGACAGAGAGTATCATCCTCTCCGAACGCGGCGGCACCGCTGGCTAGTTAAACGAAACCCTTCGGGTGTTGGCAGTCCATGAGTGTGGACTTTGTGTTTGTCCGGCGGAAGGACTCGGCGGCAACACGGGTGTGGTGGTTTTCGTGGACCGTTTGAGCAAGATGAATCATCTTGCGGTAGTGCCGGATACCATCGACGATGCGGGTACAGCGACGCTGTTTGTCAGTCGTGTCATTCGACGGCATGAATTCCCGGAGTCAATTGTCTCTGATAGAGACCCGCACTTCACTGGAAAGTATTGATCGACAATCTTTGAGGTGCTTGGCACCAAGTTGTCTATATCATCAGCGGACCATCCGCAGACCGATGTTCAAGTTGAGCGCGTGATCGCGTCGCTGAAGACGTTCTTTGGGGTGTCTGCGCTGAGACGCCGAAGCGCTGCAGCACCATGCTGCCACTTGTAGAGTTTGCTCTGAACACTGCAGTTCATTCATCTACCGGCTGCACGCCGTTCTACGTGAACGGGCTTGTTAATTTTCGCGTCCCGCTGACGACGCCACCGCATGACTCAGGGCTTGGTGGGGAAGGAATAGCCGAACGGCTAGCTGGTATCAGTCTTCTCACTGTCCGTAAAAAAGTTGATGACTTCCTGTCTACCAGACTGCGTATCCTACGACACGTTTGAGATGCCATGATTGAAAGCCGAGACATGCAGCAAGAATATGCAGATTGAAGAAGCAGAAAAAATGTTGAAATCATTGAGGTCGGAGACCTAGTTCTATTCAATGCTAAAAGCTTTCTACAGATGGTGTCTCTGCTGTCTATAGGACAAAGGTCCGTCTACAATTTATTGGACCTTTTAAGGTCGTGGCCAAAAGAGGTCTTGCGTATACGATGAACCTTCCGAGAAGGATGCTCACCCACCCGGTATGATATGTGGGCTTGCTTAAGCCGTATCGGGATTCGGCGCAAATGAGCGCATAAGCGTTGGCGCTTAGGCGGCGCCCAGCCACTTAATAGCTAAAACAGCAACTCATTCTGAGCACGGAGTACAATAATTTACGTGTTCAACGGCTCAAGGCGCTCCACCGTCGCACAAAGTGACGTATTTGATGCTCGACGGCTAGGAGCCGCTTCGACAGAGCGCGATAATCCTCAACGTGAGGCAGTCGGTGAACAAAGTTTCAGGGTCTCGAGGTCTTCCGCACACCGGTAGGCGGCCTAGAGTCACCGGACAGCGATCGACCAAGTCGTCATCGCGCGCTGCCGACTCTTCTCGATGAGAATGGCGGCGTTCACTACCACGTAGAACGCCTTGTGGGTCGACGTCGACGACAGATACTAACCCAATATCGTGTGAAGTGGTGGGAGAACCCAAAATCCGAGAATTCGTGGGAGGTTGAGGTGCCACTTCGGCAAGACTGCCCGGACGTCGTGAAAGCTTATTATCGTGCACACCGCGCTCCTCGGCTGTAGCCCGGGAAGCTGGAGAGCCATGGCACTGGCCGACGATTCGCAGGAAGACGGCGTTGCGTCTTGAATTTGAATTGGCGATGGTGCTCAACGTGCATGTTCACTTCCTTGTGGCTTCGTTGTAAGGTAGACAGCAAGTAAGTTCCGGTGCCGCTGCACCCATCGCTCAAATAGTTCCTCATCATATGCAGCGAATTCGCTAGGGCCGAGCATCAGAGGAATAGTCCACATTGCGGGTACAGGAGCACCTCCTCTTTATGCTCAAAGCCGAGCGCGATACCGATTCATTGAGATTTCTTCGGGTACCAAAAAGCGAGCTCGGAGAGCTTACCGCTGATCAAACTCAGCTTGTGTAGTGGCCGAGAGCTAGACTTCGTAGACGCCTAACGATCAAGTGATCGCGTCTTTCGCTTCAGTAGCGGGATCCGCCGAGCGGTAGCCGTATTTCACACGAGAGTCTAGGACCGAACGTGGATACGAGCGCATGAGAGCCACTCTGTGGACAGCCTCCAATTGCTGCCCCTGTGCCTCGTCAAGGCGATTGGTAACAATACCACATCCCCCGGAAGTCGAGAGGTCGGGAATAATCAATGGACGGTATCCACACGGTTCGGGCTGGGCCCCGTTGGCGCACCTCATTCTCCTCGTCTCCCCGTGCGAAAATAGGAGTATCCGACTCGTAGTCGACCTTTTCCAATCCTCGACGAGAATATTCGTCGCCCGGGGCGGGCGCGGTGTGTTGCGCTCGGTTGCCGAGGGCTTGTGATGTGCTTCCCGTGAAGCCGCGAACGTACTGTCCGGAGATGCACCCTATGCAGAAGAAGAAAAGGACTTTGCCCGCGGGCGCCGTGTTCTGCGTGCGATAGACAAGGGGCTCATTGAGCCGAGAATGTTTAAGGATGTTCTTAGAAAAGAGAAAGAACATAAAGGCGTCTCAGACACGCGAGCCTCGTATGAGGCAACAGTTAAATGTGAATCGTGGATATCCACAATTGTGATGAGTGAGAAAATAACGGGGGTTACACGTACCCTTGCATGAAAGGGTGGGTCAGATGGTGTAACTGTGCATAGGTGTAGATTACACAAATTGGTATACTCACACAATGGTGTGGCTACACTGTAACAAGAAGCCACTACGTGGCTGGATTGCATATAATCAGGTTTTGCTATATTAACTAGATCTTACTGTATTAATTAGGCATTACTATATTTGCTAGGAATTCTTAAGGCGTTAGATATTGGCGGCTCTGCCGCAACTAGAATAATTGAATACAGTTTCATTTGAACGGAAGTGTCTCTTTACCTTGTTTGTGGTTTTGAGCACACTTGGAGGCAGCGGATTGCGATCCGCTGCACTCGTACTGGTCTTGTAAGGAGCGTAAGGTTGGAGACCTTAGCTTAGCTTCCTCTAAGCAAAGAGCTACGGCAGCGCCGCTGCAGTATTGTAAGTGATGGTGAGGTGGTCATATGTCGTAATTCAGTACAGCATTAAGAACACAGAGTGCGATGAGTGGGTTAGTCACCATTAAAGATTCTAATCACCCTACGGTTTCGTGCTGGAGGAATACCAAGACATTGCAACATATGCATACCCACCACAAATGTTTTCCTCGGTTCGGAGAATTCGTCGTCAGATTGACCTAGCTACTGGAATCAATCACTGTATGTCACGCTAATGGCCATTACCAAGGGAGCAGTGACGTCGTACAGCCAAACTGATATAACAAAGAGAAAGGTGACCAATCTGCTGTTGCAAGTGCCACAAACGCAGAAGTATCAGCTATTCCTACCATGTTATCACCACTCTCACAACCGCTACAGGGTAAAATATAGACGCCATTATTTGTGATCTACTAATAGCTAAAGTTTTACTTTTAAGGCAGCTACCCTGGTGTCACTGGCACTTACAGCTTGGCATACCCTCGGCCGTCGTTCACACCAGCCAAGCGGTCGCAATGTCTTGCAATTAGCTTATCACTTTATCAGAACGGGCATGATCTGATTCTAGATTGAACGGAGGCGAAGACGAGTGCCCTCTTGATGTCGAGGGTGTGAGTGGTAATTGCGTCAAGCGTATATCTGCTTCTCTGAAGGTCCCTGGCCCTAAAATGCTTTCTTCACCTAGTACTCTAAACAGTCCTGCCGGAGAATAGTGTCATATATACATAATCCATAGAGGGTAACGACCGACGTTGAATTTTCCGATCCAATCCGACCGTAACAGTACCTTGCAAGATCAACAAGCTCTCCCGAAACGAAGTACTTAGAAATTCTCCTTTCCAACGGAGCTGCCGATCATCTAGCAAATGCCTCGTCGTGCTAATGAGGTATAAGCAGTTCTAACACTTATTCATCTCAGTACGTCGGATGTCGTGTTGATTTCAAACGTCGATGATAGTATGTCTACGCGTAATGTCAACATCTCAGAATATGATCTTGGACAGCTACGTACAGCAAATGTGAACCAGTATCAGCTAATCAACTAGTCAAATCTTAAATTTCAGTGGCTGTCGGCGTTTAGCTTTGAATTGTTCAAAGAGTACGACACATCAAAGTCGCCAATGCATTACTATTTCGGTGACTTGAAACTATTCTCAAGTGTTCTTTTGAACCTCAACGTGGTATCCGGCGAAGAGCAAGGGTCCAACTGACCGTCAAGGAGTATTTTGTGTACATTCTGTCATCCAGACGCGTCATTTCTCATTTTGGTCTTCTTTTCTTGGTTTGGGAAAGAAATTATGGCTGGGGATACAAGCAAGAGGAATGCAGATTGTGATCATGGTTCAGTACCAGTAAGCAGCAAATAAACTGCACAGCGATTCCTCTGTTCATACGCTCAATACGATTTGCTTTGTCAATCAACTGCGCCGCACTTGTCTAACGGCTTGCTCATGGTTTTACGGAGTGATGAGTGATACGTTGCGGCTTTCGATCTCTATACAAGAACTTATATACTCGAGTTGCCAATCTCTACGTCTAACTCGCTTGTTGAAGGCGCTTGTACGCATATATACAACTTGAGCATTTCTACTACATCCAAATGCCAGCGACAAGTTCGAAAGCGCGCTGTGAAAAATGTATCAACATGCCGTTCACTTGCAAGACGTCAAAAATTCAGACGGATGCGACTATATTTATCTGTAATATCCGCGATGAAATATTTTCATGTAGCTTGTCCCTGGCAACGAAAGTTCAGATTTTGGAACCTGAGGGTTGATTCTCTGATACTGAAGACACCAAAATGTAGTGAGGCGTCGGATTCCTATAAAATAGTCTTCAGTCGTTATCATTGGTAGTTGCCTGAGGAGTTACTAATTAAAATGAAGCACTGGTTGGCTTTGAAGCGTACTTTAAACTCTGAGAGGTATACCGGAGATCTGATAAAGCAACGCGAACAAAGATTCATCCTAACACTTATGCATTTGTAGATAGAGCATGAAAGAAATGCCTGCTTCTTTCTCAATCGAGTCTATGCTTCTAGTGTTGTTGCCATATGTGGTATTGCTGTCTGCGTCATGAGAACGCTCGGTATATGCTCTTGTACAAAAAGATTGACGTTAAGACCTTGAGTGTGGAAATGAAGGTTTTGAAAAGCTACTGCTTGATAGTAACAATCTCTTGAGACGCAATGAACTATCCGAGATTATTCTGCTCTATACAAAGGTAGCATTGATCTAAAGATTTCATTTCCTTTCTGTAACGATTTGATTATCGACGTTTTCGGTTCGACAAGGAGACTTTTGGTAGTCAGTCATATACCCTTCAATGCGTAATCATGAACGGTTTCATTCTGTTTTCACGATAGATGCATCAATTGTCTTTGAGTAGCTTAATTAAGCATGCAGAATCGAGAAGAAAGTAGTGACCTCGAGAAAGAATCCGAAAGGCGGGGGATTCAAACGCTGATGCACATGAATTGATCACAACTGTAGCACGGATGAATGCATTACGTAACAAATAAAAGCATATGGCTAGCAACAATATGTCAGGATTCATACTCGGTCCGAGTAGTTCAATATCTTCACTTTCATGCTTCGGTGTGATCTTTACCACCAGCATGCTCTATCACATCCTCGAAATTTACGAAATTTCAATCTGAAGTTTCACCACAACAGCAACATTGATTTTCTTAAACACTATAAACAATCAACTTATCATCGCTAACGGCTACATCTTGAGAGCTTACTATAACGTTGATCCGCTGTAGTTCTAGGCGTCGCAAATGAAAAATCCTTGGGTTTCATCAGGTATAGACAGGATAGGAATACCAGAAAAGGTATGAAGTATAGATTTTTTGGTCCTGTGGTCAATCGCGCCTTTGTATCTCGCTTATGGCCATCACAGCTGTCAAACTTTATAATTTATTTCTGGCTTCTCTGGCGTTCAATTGCAAAATCTACAGGAAGACATTTCACGTTTCGTCTTTACTTGGCAAAGGAAGTGGTGAGTGCTGTGACTTAATCATGTCGTCTTCCGTGAAGTGAGCAAGTTGTTTCAGTCTTCCGTATCGAATCAAAAAAGCTCAATCTGTCTATTTAATTGTACGCTCGATACATTGAGGCATCTTATGATGGGCGTTGTGAGCTCGTGCAGTGAAATAATGGCGTAGATGTTCCGAATCACAGAACCTTTCCCCTTACTTGGACAACCGCATATAATAGTGGTTCATGTGACAAGAAGGTGAACAAATTAACTGGCAATTAACCATGCTTTTAGCAACCACTAACGTAGTATTCTCTTTAAATCAATACCCCTCGCAATGTCGCACTAAAGTGTACATTGACTAATGTTGTTGTACGTTGCCACATGGCCACTCTTTTACATGTTTTTCTGACTTGATGTGCACTATTGTCACATCTGCCACTTTGATGCTTGGTTTTTGTACTGTTTTAAAACCATTCCTCTATAATAATTGGACAAAAGTTCGGGACACCATGCTTTGGATGGACAAGCCAACAGATGGAGATGAGAGTTGGTCGATTACTTGGGGTACTCACGTCTTTTAGCTCATCGCATTCCAGTCTCTCTTCTTCCATCCAAACACAAGAATGAAGCAATATTCCTACGACTTTATTCATGATGACATGGTACGTCTTTATCTTCTTGACGTCTTGTTAATGACTTGTGATAACAGAATTTGATCTTCTTCTTTGAAAGGATGATCGAAGTAAAACAAAAGCAACTGCTTTATCAGTTCCTGAGAATGAAATTGCTCAAGAATATGATCCACCAGTGACGTCACATACGCCACGAACTGGCACTCAAGAAACACCGTCACAACTTTCGGATCCCCCAACTTCGCATGGATCATCAGTAACCCCAACGAGTACCCCACCTTTCAGGAGCGTAAACACGGACGACACAATGGATGAGAACGGATCTTTAGCGAATACACCAACAGATACCAACTTGAAGAAATCGCCTCCTGTTCACAGTACGTCGGTCACAGCACCAGATCAAACAACTTCATCATCTGGAATGTCTGGAGGATCTATCGCTGGAGTTGTGGTTGCTTTAGCCTGTGTGATGTGCGTCGTGGCAGCATTTGTGATTCGAAAGAAGAAAATTAACAAGATGCAGAGTAATTTCCCATCAGCTTTTGGTGGATCCAAAGAAGTTCCAATTGTCAAGGCAAAACTTGCACCTCCAGGTTCATTTGGAAAGCTTAATAGTGGACGAAATCGTCATGATGGAAAGGAGATGTCGAATGGTCCAGAGATTCTTGCAGTTGTTCGAGATGATCCATTTACGAGACGACAGATGCATAAAGGAGGAATTTGGGATGATCCTGTACTTACGGCTGCTCGCATTCCTCTTGAACAAATTCAGATTCAAGAGCTTATTGCTCGTGGTGGGTTTGGTCAAGTGTTTATGGCATCGTACAAGGGGAAAACAGTGGCAGTCAAGACATTATTACCTGAAACAGCTCAAGACATGAATGAGATCAATGCATTGTTTACAGAGACGAAAGTCATGGCAAAGCTTGAACATCCGTGTATTGTCCGTTTTATTGGCATTGCATGGGAATCGCTTAGTACCGTCTGTTGTGTTACAGAGTATCTGGTCGGTGGTGATCTTCGAGCTCTGTTAAATCACTTTCTCGCCAATCAAACACGACCTCGCGGCTTTGATCACGATAAGGTGAAAATCGCACTGGATATTGTCAATGGACTCTCGTATCTTCATTCTTTAGAGCCCAATATTCTCCATCGTGATTTAAAATCTCGCAATGTTTTACTTACCTCACAACTTGAAGCAAAACTCACAGACTTTGGGGTGTCACGAGAACGATCTGATGATCGAATGACTAATGCTGTGGGTACATCACTTTGGATGGCACCGGAAGTGATGATGGGTGGACATTATGATGGAAAAGCTGATATCTTTTCATTTGGTGTCTTACTTAGTGAACTTGATAGACATGATATGCCATACGCTAATGTCAAGAATGCAAGTGGACGTCGACCAACTGATTCGGTATTATTGCAAATGGTAGCAGGAGGCAAGTTACAAGTACAATTTTCGGACAATTGTCCCGAACAAGTCTTAACTCTTGCTAAAGAGTGTATCTCAGTCGATCCAACTAAACGTCCTACTGCTGCTAATGCGATGGACAGACTCCAAAGTGCTTTAAAAACTTTTGAAATCGACGAAGTGGCACTGTAGTGATTAAATATCACAACTTATGTAGACATTGAGTCTACTAATGTATTATTCCAGAGTTCGATTTAACTAGTGGTGTCCAGTTTATTTTCTAACAAATCGAAATAGTGTTAATATGTGACTTTGGAAATATAGATATTTGTTTGTGAATACTATTTAAATAATTACATGATGTTTTATACTTAACTATTCACCATCCGTAAGACCACGTCTTACTCTTAAAAGATTGTTATCGTCGAATCGTTTCGGTAGTCTTTGCTATGCGCAACGAAGCGAGCAGAAAGACATTGTTGTCGAATTGCGATCATGATTGCAATTGTCGGCATCCGAGGAGATCAGTTACAGTAAGCTTTAGATTGCATTTCAGCAGATTATATGATTTTTGTTGGGTTTGATTAACAAGTCGACGAAAGACTTAGACGATTGCATAGATTTGAAAGCACAGACAATTTGCAATTAAATTACATATGTACAACAGACCCCTATCTTTTGCGATTCTAATAAGAGTAATTGTCCTGATTCTAGACTCTACTTTTAGTGGTCCAATGTCTGGATTTTTTCTTAAGAACCTTTGATTTAAAGCAAGCAATGTGTTTTCATCGACAAGACGAAAGCCGGGTATATGCAGATATGTTACATTTTATTGTAGTGACCGGTTAAGGTGCACTTTGCACTAATATGCTCACAGTCGTACAGCAAGTACCCGTTACACTGTCTTCACGACGATGGGAAGGAATCTTCACCTATCGATTGTTTGTCGATCATCCAACGAGTATCCATTGCAATTGAAGTTTCGCCTCACTTCTTGCACCCTGCAATTCCTGATCCTTACAGCATTTTTGATACGAAAGTCTTCTTCCATTACACAGCATCGTAGGGCTTGTTAAGTCCAATCCAGAGCAGCATAGTTGGCTACAAGTCATTTAGTACCTCTGATCTAGTCGTTGGATATCATTAACTGCGCCAAGAGATAGCAGTACCCCTCTTTCTATGGTAATTAGCCGCGGAATATTCAGTAAGTGGAAAATGATTTCACGATTTTGTCTAACGCACCAGCAACGTTCAACCGTTTAGTGAAGCAGCTGCTCAGGTCCCTTTGTGCCGACGCCAAACCTATCTCGACGAGACATTCGGGCATTTTTGTGCACAGCACTGGTGTTAGAGATGTAATAACACATAAGGTACTTGCGAGTAGTACTTGCGAGTATACACTTAATAAACTGCTAGCAAACATTGATGAAGGTGTCTTTTTAAACACCGACAGATATCGTCTCTGGGTTAGTTCATTTGTCTGTCGACAGTTCCTGCAAAAATCAAGGCTGGCTAGTGTTTCTGACTCAAAGGGATATACAACATATTGTACTAATATAGATTGTAGTAAAAAGGTAATACTGACATGGTACGGCCTCTCATAATATCCATGTAGATAAACTAAGGTCAAATGATACCGGCGTGCGGCATGGAGGTGGCATTTGTCTGTGAAAAGAAGCCTCATGTGTGCCTTGATGTTGACTTTTGCAAATCTAGATCTGCTATTCAATGCCGTTTGCGATGCTACAGCTTTTGCCATAGGCTGTGATCTACTTCATCCCGATGACGACAACATGAACACACAATCGCGTCCAAGTCTCGCCAAAATATAACTACTCACCTCACGACAAGAATAAATGATGTGAGAGCACACCTGCTTAGTTTTCAGCCATTTATGATACATACAGCAGATGCGTTCATGTGTTATCACGAGAGAAAAGAAAGATGGTTTCTCGCTTAGGTGAAATTACCTTCGAGGTGAGGTATAAGCCGGATCGATCGTGGATGCAATTTTTGGTCGCCCGACGTCGCTAAGTGATGCGGCAGCTGTTACAGCGTAAGGTTCAGACGCAACATGTTTTATGTTGCGTCTGGTCTGGGAAGAAAAACATCCGGGTAAGCAGATGCCGCTTTATCGATGCGAGTGGTTGCAAGTTCGCCTTATCCCGAGGCTTTTTATATTACAGTCAAAACAGGACGAAGCAGTACTCCGATGCCAAGAGGCGGGCAACACTCGGATGAAGATGAAGTGTAGTGAAGTTTCTCATGAATGCCGCAAGACCTATTTATACATTTGGTCTCTAAGGTCTACAAAACTTAGTTGCGCTCACGCTACATTCGACCGTTCACGGTCATAACATAAAAAATGAGTTATACACTACACCAATACAAAATTATGCAATTACATCCTGGTTTGTACGCGGAATTCTGTGAGCGTATGACGTCCCCGATCATTTGCACGCAAGAGGCTCAGTTGAAGGCAAAGCAACATCTTGATCATCTTCTGTGTCAATTGTCTAGCTGTGCTAGGGCAAGTTTGTGCATGGGCTCATAGCAGCACCGTATGACGGTGTGTATCAAAAACTGCCACCTAACGTTGGCTCTGGTCTGCAGCGTTGTAATCGGAGGTAGTTGGCGCACCAGATCGACCGATAGACCTCATGATGGCTAGCCGCGGTAGGGCATACCCAGCTGGTACTGATAGACGAGAAAAAAATTTCACTTCAAAGTTGAGCGGTTGGTGGGCTAGCGTGAACACTAGGGCTTTCAAGTATTTGATAAAATGGAAATAGTTTTAGTGTTCAAAATAACCACAGGGTTTAGAGTTTCATTTTGATACGATCTCCATAGCGTCGTCAGCACTTATGACTTGGCTTACACACCGTCATGATCGCTTGAAGAAAGTGATCACGAAAGTGTAGAAGCGGGATGAATAGATCTACAGGCTATGAAGGACCACGTTCCAAGTTCGAAGTTTGATCGGTAGCTGTATCAGCTGTCATAAAGATAAGTTAAATTTTTAATGCAAAGCTCGGAGGAGAAACTATCTTAGTGCCTTGATTTCTGTAATGCAACCATTACAATAGTCTTATCATACATCTACTTTACTGAGGCTAAATGGTAGAGCTGCACTTTCGAAGAAACGTCAAGTTTGCCTTTGAACGACTTACTTAATTAAGTAGCATGAGTACAGCAGAGTGAACTGGCATGGATATCGGATGAGCAACTGCACACCTTATTCACATCGTACTTTGCTTTGAGAGCTGAATACTATACGAGCGGATCGGTGACAAGACGTCTGGGGTAATTTTAATAATCTGTCAGAGTTTAACAGTTAGTTCGGGTATCTTTTTGTTATTTCGGCCGCTAACTCTGACTTTAATTAAAAACGGTTTGGAGTGATTGTGGCGAGATTGGCAACATGACCAAGGTAGCCGAGCAATTGGCGCCAGCAAGGCAGATCTTTTTATAACCGTTACGTTGCACTTCGGAGCATATCCTCAGCCATACGATATCACGTCTTTTTGGCTGAACATACGTCTGCAGATGTCGCGTTGCGGCCAATTCAACTTTGTTCCAACCATTTTTAAGCAAATTTGCCAAATCTCGCTGCACGCGCGGATCTCGATCCGAGCCAAAACCCACCAGTGTTTCATGCTGGCGAAGATCTGACCGGTCTTGCACTTCGTGCACATACTATCTCAGAGTCGTTTAACAAACACATTGCCTATCAGATAAAATAGCGGTATAAGGCTAGCTCAATCACTCTACTATCCAGTGAATGTCTTTTTTGTCATAAAATAGTGAGCCTTCAAAGACCCGCACGTGGGCCTGTCACCCACGACATCTGACTTAGCCGATTTTCACATTGTGACTTCAATAAACCATCATTATCTATTTTGAGACTCGGACCTTCAAGATTTACCTTGTCAGCTTCGATATATGGTTCCTTATTTCCATACCGACTAAGATGTACTGTGGTGTCTGCAGCAAGCACGCCTTTCCATGCTGAGTCTTGCGCATTGAACTTAGCAGTGCTGTTGCTTACAATTTCAGACTATCATGGCCTGGCTCAAATGGTGGTTCAACATTGTCTAAACATACTTTGCTTTCAAGCGGAGATGAGCTAATGACTCACCGAAGCTTCACCAAGAGTCAAACTCGTAAGGAGTGTTGTAAAGTCGTGGTGGTGAAGGGTGAATGGGATATGTAACCCACTTTGGTAAATATACACATTACCCATTGTCCTTCGGACTCAAAGCAAGTGCAGAAATATTTTATCTGGTAGGGGTGTTACCTCTGCAACAGTTACGTTCATGGGACGTGTGAGTCGAAGCCTCACGCCGCGCAATTACTATTTCGTTTTGGATTTTAGTTCATTTTTTCTAGTATTCGCTCTTGCAACTTGATTCCAAATATGTCATGTGCTAAACATAACGAAGTAGTGTAGAACTAAGCAAATTTAAAGCTTCAAAACCCATTCTTACATATATTTTACAAGTCAATTCTATGTATACTAGCTAACATAAACTCGTTAGATCATTTTTTAATTTGATGTTCGCTACAAGCCTGTTGCTTTTGATAAGATCCTAAAAGGCGTTGGTGAAAACACAGGCAGCTTCCAATGCGATGTCACTTACGCTCATCGTCAAGCTTTCTTAGGGGGAGATGGAGATAAATGTCCCACTTTCAACAAGAGAGACTGAATTGAAATCATGCCCAAACTGGAAACATCAATGTGTCAAGCTTTTGTCCCCAAACGAGAAAGTTGAGCGCGGTAATGAGCAAAATGTCGTAAACACTAATTGACGAGCCAACAGCTCAATTGAACTTCTCTGCAGATTTTAGGTTTGTACAATGCAAATCACTGTTCAAATCAAGTCATGATAGCACTTCGGGGACGAAAAGCGATCGACCACGGATTGACAGAAAGTCAAGACAGAGCCTACATCTGCTCGCTAGCAGAAACGTGCTTGCTGAGTGCTTGAAGATGCGATAGCTCTGGTGTTAGCCATAGGATAGTAGTAACGGTATTGGAAAGTTCCAGAAAATCTCATGTGCTGTAAGGTTCTACAGGTTGTAAATGGTAGGTTATTCATTTAGTAAGGGAACAACCGGGGCTGTCCTGATGAAAGTCTATGATCATTTTATCAGGCAGGAACTCTCATTTCATCTGAATAAGTTTGTAAAGAAATGTTGGCAAAACGTTGCATGCGGGTCAGATCGCAAATTGATAAGGTACCATCCATCTTGATTGGATACGTCGTGAAGGACACACGCAGAACTATGATGGCAAATTTTGGGATGGCTCTCCTCAAGATTTTTTGCGAGTCAAATGTCTGACAGTCCAACGACAAGAGGCGTATTGTACATGCTTTTAAAAAGCCAGATGCGTGCAGAAGCTGATTAAAAATGTTGATCCCTAGAGTGGATATGCGTTCATAGATGTTCAGTTTTATCTTGTCTACTGCCCGTGACCTAGTCGATAAATCCTGTCAATTCCCGTAAAGAACAGAGACACCCTGCCTGCTGCAGTGTGCGCTCCAAAAGGATTCTACGGAAGTGGTCGGCTATATTTTAGAAACTGTTTATCTAATCTGGACGCTCAACAGCAGGTCACAAAAGCTTTAAATTAGTCCAGAGCTACGCGGAATATGTTTAGACGCTCATACTTTTGAGCTGTGCTTAATCCTCAATCGCATGTGCTTGAACAAGCTGTTTGACAAATAGGCCAAAAGTACCATGATCAGCATTGCTGAAATCTTTGGGAAGCAAGAAGTTTGATATTGGATGTAGGGTTTATCAAAGCGTCCATTGTACGTCTGTACATTTACTGCATGGGCGTTCATTACCCCTCAAAATACACGATTTGATCAGCCTCAAACTCGTTTACATAACAACGAAGTAGTCTTGCTTGGCAAGCTTATCGATAAGACCCAAATTGCTGGTATCAGCTCGGCTACGCTTCACAATGATATCAAAGACTGTATAATGACGAGATTGACCATCGTACGCCAAGTGAACAACACTATGGCTGACGGTCAATGTGCTAATTCAAAAGGCAGACAAATCACACATTTAGTTGTCGTTCGTGAAGACGTTTCTTTATCGCTGAAAACGGCACGGCTGCAGTCGATATGTTTAAGTTATTATCTCGCAATACCAGACTAGTTATGCTTATAAATTGGAGATTTAACTACCGATAAGAACGCAAGCACACCTTTTGCCTGGGTTGACCAGCGTTCTTATATCCCTACCGTCCGCCCTTGCGCGGACGATAAAGTTCTGAACCGCATTGGTTTCGACATACGATGGCGTAGCTAGAAATGCGAAAACTAGAACTGACTTATCTCGGCTTGATGGAATAGATTTGGCGTACAGTCAGGACGAAATGTCCGTTGCATTTACCAGAAACATTACCAGAATGGTCTCACTAATAGATTCATTTGGTCTGCTAGAAAAGAGAATAAAATTACTTCCTATTTTGTCATGATTGCCCTGGGAGAAGCTCCTGTTCTTGCGCTTGCAATCCACGATATGCTTGTTCTTGCTGTATGCGATGCGAGTGATTATGCCGTCGGTTTTGCGTTTATGCAACACGATGATGAAGGTCGATAGCGAGCTGTTTTGTATCAGTCGCGATAGCTTCTGCCCACAGAACGGAACTGTCCTGTTCATGACAAAAAACGTCCGGCAAAAAAGTATGCCTTGGTTAAGCTCCGTGTGTATTTGCTTGCAGAGGAGCGCTTTGCCATCTAAATAGATCATGCCTCCCTGTGTACGCCAGTAAAGACTCCTCAATTATCGCAAGGAATAGCTTGATGGTTTCTCTTCTATGCGGAGTACAATTTGTTGTACACTACAAGCTAGGCAAGACGAATATCTTGGTTTATGGGCTGTCATGACGTCCGGACTATGGATCAAAGTACAAAAGCGAAAACATGCACGAGTTTGTTGACAATGCGAAGACGATCAGACGACCAGAGTACAACATACGAGTACAGTGTGCGAAGAAATTGTCAGGGTACAAGTCTGATGAGACATGTCAGGACTTGTTGAGGTATTTCAATTATCCTCCAACAAAGCACTGCAAGGTCTTCCGTCTCGCACAAGATTGCGTGTTTACCGTTCTGGGATACACAAGGGATTTCTTGTACCATACGGTTGAACACGGGGATACGGCACGAGTTGTTGTTCCAAGTAACGAAGGTTTGCGTCATCGTATCTTATATGAGTACCATGACAGCCCTTGGGTGGCCATTTCGGACGTGAGGAAACGTTTCTCAGTCGTTCTCGAGGTTACTATTGGCCACACATGAAATTGTAGTTGCGCAAGTAAGTGGGATTTTGTGTGATTTGCCAGAGAGTGAAACCATCGGGTCTTACTCAGGCCTTACTTTGGTCGTTGGCAGTGCCAACTGACTGCTGGAAGTCTGTGAGTATGGACTTCATATTTGGATTTCCTCTTGACACAGATGGGCACAGTAGCATTCTTGTGTAATTGAACCAATTCAGCAAGATAGTTCATCTTACGCCTATTTCGGACAAGATCTCTGCCGAGACGACAGCTAAGGTCTTTCTACGCGTTTTTTTCTGCATGACCTTCCTATTGCGATCGTGTCTCACCGTGACCCCCGTTTTACGTCAAAATTCTGGCGTGCACTGTTTGGACTATTGGGCACCAAATTGGCCATATCAAAAGCGCTACAACCTAAACGGAAGGTCGAAAAGAGTGTGTAAACCAGGTCCCGGAAGACGTATTGCGTATTTACGCTACATCGCTCAAAGAGTGGAGAAATATTCTCCCTCTTGTAGAGTTTACGGTAAACAACTCCACGCTTGTCCTAACAGGCCATTTGCCTTTTTATGTGAGCTATTGCATCCATCATAGAATACCTGCTTCTATAATGGGCGAGGTCTCTACCTTACTTTATAGTCCCCCATTTATACTATGGCTATAGAGCCACAGTCAGACCCAAATGCTGTCACAGAGTTTAAAGCGAATTTTGACTCAATGAGACCTCTAGACGACATGCCAAGTCGTGAGGAACAGCACGTCGACGACTATATTGCGAGGAGTCTTGCCATTGTTCGGTTTGTTCGAGACGCAATTCCGGAATCTCAGGATTTGCAAAAAGAATAAGAATGTAAATAGGTCACTACTTTCCATTACAAATCTGCCTGAACATGCAGAGTATAACGTGAGAAGCAGGAAGCTTTTACCTCGATTTATAGGACCAATCAAGGTGATGAAATGCAATGGTGAAGCGTATACATTAGCCATGTCTACACGCATGTGCCTAAAACCTACATCTTATGTGTGTAGGCTAAAGTCGTATCTTTCGAGTGGATCTGCCGATCCTACTCTACCTATGGTAGATGATCGAGCTGATCATAAAGTTCCTCCATTTGTTCACGAAGAGCAATCAACTCTTCACCCTGAAGATTAATCTCGGCGTACAAGCTTGAAAGGACATCGAAGGATTGCCTTCTTACTGGTTCCAACCCTTGAAGATGAGAATGGTACTCATCACGTTGCTCTTCAACAGCGCGCAACACGTATTTGTAAGCTATCACACGTCCTTCCAGAGCCGAATATGTTCAACATGAGTTTGTTTAAACTGTACTTCAAAACGAGACTTTCAAGCCGAGCATTGGACGGAACCATCGGTCAGAACGTCGGGTTTCGAGTGCTCTGCAATAAGGTTGGAAAGGCTCTCGCAGCAATCTTCAAGCGTCGATCAACGCTGCTGCAATGACTCAATTTGCCCGCGATGAGCGCTCTTTTGCTTCCAGAGTCGCTCAATCGTTTTCACGTTCAGCTCCACCTCCGCTATTGGACTCTTGTGGAGAACGTTGTTGGGTGGTTGAGACGATTGTCGATCACGAGGGTTGGTCAACTCGTCATTTTGGTAAGAAGCAGTTGAACCATCAACGCTTCTACAGAGCTCGGTGGCGCGGCTATCCATCTTATTCGGACACGTGGGAACCTCGTCAGGCCTTAGCGTCTGATGTCCCTGACGTGGTACACAGATACGGGAATCGTTTGAAGCGTTGCTAGAAACAACACTACGACGACCAGAGCTTGGTTGTGCTTGGTCGTGATTAAGAGTCCTGCCAGCACCGACTGGGCAAAGCAGACTCTCAATTTTGTTCTCCTTCTCAAGGCAAACAAATGTCCGCCAAAAGTCAAGCTTAGCTGCGATGGGCTAGGTCGAATCATCACGGTTGTTGATCCGACGCCAACGAGAGAACCGTTCCATGTAGAACCTCTTTTCTCTACTTTGGTTGCGATGGAAGAAGCGTCAAAGAGTTCTTAAATCGTTCTTCGCCTAAACGGCAAAGAACGCTCTTTAATGTTGGCTTGGTGACTTGATCGCTTATTTTGTTGATCGAAAAATTAGCTTCTCCTAAAGGTCTGCAAAAGTGTCAAAATACTTTTGACTCTAAGGAGGGGATGATATCATTTGCTACGCTATGCTCATAACGTGGGAATTTGCAAGTATGGTGTTTCCTAATGCATACTTATATGAGGTCACAAACATAACGTGTGAGTTAGAACGCTGGTTTCTACTTGGGGATCTGTACTGGTGACGAGACCGACATGTCCCTGTTTTTAGAAGTGGGTGGCATAAGTTAGTCATTTCTACTAGAGAACTTACACGAAAGTTGAAGTTCAATCTTTCGAAGTTCAAGCTCCGTACACCTCAGATTATTTATTAGTTGAAGCTGAGGTTCAACCGTAGTACGCTCTTGATTTATAAATCAGAAACCCAAGATTTTATTATCATAATCTCTAGGAGCCTTGGGGTGTTTTGAATGTAGCTAGGAATCATAACTCATTTTGATTTTTCTACATATTTACCGTTAAGGTATCAATTCATTCTTCTTTCCTCCAAGTCGACACTGTCCTTCTTCTTCCTCGTCGGGAATCGCTCCGTCGTCGCGAAAGCGTGTGTAGTGTTTGAGATTCCGTTTGTGAAGGGCGCCCTCGTACCTTTTGCCGACAGTTCCCTGATCTGAGAGCCTTGGGGTGTTTTGAATGTAGCTAGGAATCATAACTCATTTTAATTTTTCTACAGATTTACCGTTAAGGTATCAAGTCATTCCTCTTCCCTCCAAGTCAACACTGCCCTTCTTCCTCCACGTCGGGAATCGCTCCCTCGTCGCGTAAGCGTGTGTAGTGTTTGAGATTCCGTTTGTGAAGGGCGCCCTCGTACCTTTTGCCGACAGTTCCCTGATCACGTCGGGGCCATCGATACACATATGTTCATAAACTTGTATAATTCTCCAGAAGTTAGGTACTTGAGCATCTCAAATTCCATCCTCTCGTACGATTCAACCCCTCCACGAATCGATCCTGGGATAGACTGCAAGTTTGAAACAACAAGGTCACCAAACGTTGCATAGATAGAATTTTGACTTCAAAAGTCTTAAGAAATGCACTGTGGTTGAATTCATACGCTTCAACAAGGAGCGGAACCGAAAGCCCCGATAGTAACTAGGTCTGATTTCCTTTCTCAGATGACTTCATTTATTATATCGACCAGAACCTGGCTATCATTATACCGAATTACTGTCGTTAATGCATTGTTTCATATATACCGATATTTTCAATTTTCTGATTTTGTGCGATTACACAAAAGTGTAACGTCAAACTTATATAATTGTACACGATATTTAAGTCCGGATCCTGGCAAAGTCGAAAAGTGGTGTGATATTTTTCAAGTTCCATAAATTTAATTTTCCTTCCAGATGTATGATTTTCTTTCGTCGGAAATGGGTTACAGTAGAGAAGTCACCAATATTATTTAAGCGTAAAAAGCATGGCAAATCCTTTCTTTTGCATGGCTGCATCGTTGTCATCGGACACTTCTCTTTCTACCATTAGTATGAGACCTACGTAAAAAGCGGCAGTTATTGCACTCACGTGGCTCAATAAGGCTCATGTTTGTTTAGTAATACCGCTTATATCCTCTACTTAATTCTGTGTACAGTGAAATTCAGTCTAAGCTCCCAATATCAAGCTGGCAAGGATCAATTTACCAATCGAAGATTCCATCAAAAATTTGTCAACTTGCAGCACATGGTGCGCTCGATAACCACACCTACAATAGTACCGAAGATGTTGATTTCACGCAGAAGATAACAGTCTGAGCGATGACAATCATTTAGCGGTAGGATTTATTTATAAAACTAGACATGTAGTGGCTGATAGAATGTTGAGTAATTATGAATGCATGTGGATGACGTCAAAAGGATAACGGTCATGTTTTTAATCACTATCTTGATTACGGATGCTGATAACGGGGATAATGGTAGTCGATCATTGGTCTAGATACATAAGTTTATATTAAGAAGCTTCTAAAAGGATCGAGAAAGACAGACTTAGAGATAGCACAGACTAGCGAACTAAGGACCTTGATATATTCACTTCGGTTTTTGCCATCTTCTCAACATGTTAACAACCGCAAACAAAGCCTCGCTCACCACACCATCACCGCCATGACTACCAAGCGAAGCAAAGCCCTCCTAGGAGATATTTGTTGTTCCAATTGGAACATCAACATGAGGATGGCCCTCGCAAGAAAAGGGCTTCTGGAGCACATCATGGGCACAAAGGATGAGAGCAAAATAACGGTGACGTGGCTCGTGAATGACGCCAAGGCATAGGGTATAATTGCCCAGAGCGTCGAAATTTAACGCCAGACCAAGCTTCGGACCGCTAATCGGGCCTTGAAGGCATGGGGAACGCTTCGCGATTTCTACAATCGCTCCACTCTACACAACCGTGTCAGGGGGACACAACGCCTTCATGAGTTTAACGTTGAAAGTGGCGCACTCATTGTAGAACATCTGGGCGCATTCGACGCGCTGATCGTGGGACTCCAGACGACGGGAGAGCCGGTGGATGAATCATGACAGCATGTGATACTTCTGAGCAGCTTGCCGGCGGAATATGAGATGATTTCTTCTTTCGTGAAGAACGTCAAGGACATCACTCTGATCGAAGTAAAGTAGAAGCTGTTGAAGTAGTCAGACAGGCTACAGAAGAAGGAAGCAAGTGAGAAAGCGTTTCGTGCCACAGGCAATGACGAACGGATTAAGGTCAGATGAGGAAGTGGTAACAAGAATTACGCGCCACGCAAGGACAGCGGGTTTTGGGCAAGTGCTTTAATTGTGTCCAGACTGCCCAGCTGAGAGCTGTTCCAGAAAGCGTTGCAGCGGAATGATGCAGTATTTGCTGTGGGGAGGAGCAATCAGCAAGCCGGCTGGTTGATAGTGGTGCGACGTCACACATGACCCCTCACCGAAGTGACTTGATCGACTTCAAGCGACGTCAAGGTAACGGTAGGAAGTTATGCGTTGAAGGAGCTGGAACAGTGAAGCTTATTAGCTTAGACGGAAGACGTATATCGATCATGGAAGTGCTACATATCCCTGGAATTGACAGACGTTTACTGTCGGAGGGAAAGCTTGCCAATTGCGTGGAGTTTCGGCGTGCTTCGTGCACCATTCGGGACAAGAACTATGCTTAGGCAACTGTGGCAAGAAGAGTCAATCCTCGGGAGCTGATAGCAAATTAAGGCTGTGACACGCTCGTATGGGACACCCAAACATGGATGTTTTAGTGAAGACTTTACGATTCACAGAAGGTGTACCTGCGCTAAATCAAGGTATCAACCCCTTGTTTGGTAGATGCATGAAGGGCAAGCAGACGATTGAAGTCTTTCTGGGACGCTCCATAAAAAAGACGTCACGTGCATTGGAGTTGCTTTGCACGGACTTGATGGGACAGTTTCAAAGGAGGTGCTAAATGCATTTTGACTTTTGTGGATGATTACTCACTATATGTGGTGGTTTACTTTCTGGTAAAGGAGAGTGAAGTTTCCGACAAGATTCAGATGATCAAAACGTTGCATGAAAATCAATGGAGAATCTGTTTCAAGTGCCTGCGTTCGGAAAACGGAACGGAATTTGTCAACGACACAGTTACAGAGTTATGTCAGCAAAATGGCATCATACATCAGCGTACAGTACCATGCAGTCCCCAACAGAGCGAAATTGCAGAGCGAATGAACCGCACATTTATGGAAAAGGCACGGAGCATGCTACACTACAAGTGTGTTCCGACATGTTGGTGGGCAGAGGCAGTAAGCACTGCGGTGTACCTGATCAATTACTCTCCCACCCAAACAATACCCCGTTTGAGCTGGGATTTAAGATGAAGACTCAGATGTATCACGTTAGAGTGCTTGGGTCTCATTGTATGCTCACGTTGATCAAGTGAAGAGGACGAAGAACGAAGCCAGAAGCTCTTAGTGCATGTTACTTGGTTTTGCCAAAGACACCAAGGGATACTGAGTTTTCGATTTGGAGAAAGACGAGATATTAGATTCACGGTCGGAGAAGCTGGACGGGCGTAAAGTTGGGGGCATTTATGAGACGCACCCGCCCAAATAAATAAAATTGATACACGTAACCAAGAACGACGATGATAGCGCAGTGTCCGGGCCGCCAAAACACCAGCAAAATTAAGATGAGCTTATGGAGTATGAAGAACAAGAAGAAATTGCTTGAATGAATGTGA